AGGTTATTAGAACATTGCCGGTATCCACCACACACACGGTAACTGACTGAACTTCTTCTTTGCAAAGACTTAATTACCACGATTGATCGATATGTGGGTTTTAACGTCCCAAAACCACCGCGACGCGACCATAAGATTAGGAGAGACGCCGTAGTGGAGGAAACCGAAAATTTTGACAACCTGAGGTTCATTACCGAGCGCCCAAATCTGAGTACATGGACTACAACATTTCCGCCTGGATCGGAAATGCAGCCGCCGCAGGCGGGAATCGATCCCGCGACTTGCGGGTCAGCAGCCGATTACCTTAGCCACTAGACCACCGCGGCGAGGCAGCTTTGCCACGACGATGGTTTCGATACAGAGCCGAGCCACAGAAATGTGCGAATCCTTGAACTGACGTCATACAAGCGTGGTTCGCAGTGCCAGGCCAATAGTGAACTCCACATGTGCTAGTAGGGGGTTATCTTTTGTTATTACTATGAGTTCTTGCTACTTCTAATCGCTTTGTAGTGGTTGTGGTACACCTGGACTGATTCCGCAATGATTTTGAACTAGACTAATTGGCTGGTATCGTCTTGCATTGTATTCAGGCTGCTCTGCTGATGTCCTTGATGTTCTAGGTCTTCCCATGACAATCTAAGCATAAACTGAACTTCTTACTAGACGGCTCTTCCTATTATATATGAAAGCGGAAACATACGGTGAGAGGGAAAAACCATTTCGCTTTATTAGAAATCCTCGAGTAAAATACAAAGCAGTTACAACTGCTTGTTTACTTCAGACCAGGCTGGAAATATTGACATTATTCATGAGAGCACTATCATCCCGCATGTTCTAACAAGCATCCAGCATGCTTGTTTTGTGGGTTTTGTGCAGTTCTTCACGAGCCTACGGCTAATGCGTTCATCTGCTTGTTTGTCAACCTGTGAAGGTGTCCTTCCTTTGGGTCCAAAAATAAAATGTAAAGAGCACATGCATCTGCACACAGAGGAGCACATGAGCACGAGCGATTGTTGGTGCTTTAGGAGCCTGGCGCCGTTACGCTTTCTGTGCACGTGATTTTAGGTCAGGAGCTAAGAAGGTACGGTCCCTAACGAGGAACAATTATGACAACCTCTGCAACATTGCAGGCCCTCTGAGCGAGCACATTACAGACCTCAGCACCTTCGCGAAGGGCGGCTTCTCACTGTAGGGTTGGTATGGGAGGGGAGTCAAGTAGGCAACGGCGCACTGTAAGATGACGTGAAAGGTTCTGGAGTATTGCCACTTCTTCGATAGGCGTCCGTATAGGGAACCGAAGCTCGACTTGGCAGAGCGACGACAGCGCCACGCCTGGCCCTGGCGGCGAGTTCCGAAAAACTTGAGGAGAAGTGCGGGAGAGGTCGCAGGCGAGTCTGTGTGTTTCGTCAAAACAGGAGCGCGTGCCCCAAGCAACGCAACGCGTTCTGCTGTCGGTACGGCTAACTTCCGTGCCGTGCCGTCAGCTTGGCGTGCTGAAACGAGATGCTCACTGTGCGATTTACCTCTCCAAATGCAGAAGTGGCGCCACAGAAGTGTCAGTGTTGTCTGAAGTATTGTTCTATTGTTGGCTGCTACAACAATGCGGACAACCCCAAAGAACGCTCTCCACGTCTAAAGCTGTAACAGTTTCTCAAGAAGTCAAAGCCGGCGAACACCGCCGCGTTCGCGAAAGATAGAGCAAGCTTGACACTAGAGCCGGAGAAAAAAAAGGGAAAAAAACGAGGCAAGCACTTCAACTTGACTCACTGTGGTTAAACTTCAGCTGGCTGCCTTGTCCACAACGAGCCATGCTTCCATGGCCCGGAGAACATAACTCTAATACGTCCCGGATATTTTATAGCCATGACCGTATACCTTAAGTTTTTATTTTTTTACCATGCCGTGACCATTTGCGTATGACGGTACACAGCTAGTACTGCTAGATACCACATCAAAACAACAATATATGGTTTTTATTAACGTCAACGCCGCACATCGATAAAGAACGCGGCTTCATGTTGACAGAATAAGACTTTACTCGAGGCATACGTCGTACATGGTATTGTCACGGACCTGAGAAATGCATTATTCTATGAGTCAGGCATCCTTGTCTTCGCCTGCTCCACATCATAAACTTGACCAATGAGCTGTACTGCTTTTGTTAGATTCGCTTCTCGGAAGTGCTTGTCCAGCTCAGATATGTTTCTGAAGCCGCACTGTGCGCCCTCTGAACAAACACGTATACGAGCGGCAGCGCATTGGCGGGAAGAATAGACGCTCGGTATACATCCCCAATTTCTACTTTTCTACCAAAGATGGCCCTGCCAGTCCAGAGTCGCAGCACCACCACTAGTTGTTTAGTCTTGCTATAGAGAGTTGGGCATATGTTATGCATAAACCGCAGATTTGCGTAATTTTATGTCTGGAGCCGCCAAAGTGGGACAGCCTCTTTTCGTGTGAACGACACTAGTGGGAGTTGGTATCGCTGTCTTGGGCGTATGCATTGCTGTGTGACCTCGTGTTTTGTGAGAAGTGGGGAAGCTGCTTTTGTGCTGGCCGCCTAAGGGCGCGAGGCTGGTCGATGTGTGAGTTCTCGAGGGAATGAATGAGCGAGTTTATTATCATGCACTGAGGCGTGACCATGAGCCCCGAGCAGGCGTACGATGTGGCTTTTGTGTGAAGCAACTTTCGATGTGCGTTAAGGATTAAAATGAAATGTTTCTGGAATACCGCGACTTGTTAGGAAATCTCGACATGCCACTTCGAAACTGATGAGTATGGCTTTCCAACACGCTGGACGTGTGTTGAATGGCCAGGGTAACATCCAGAACCTTGTCCCAGATGGTGACTGAAGACGGAGAGGAGATCCAGACAGCACTTACTATATCATGTGTCACGTGCGCCGCTAACCTCCACCGACGTGTGTCCGTTCGCTACGGGAGTCGTGTTTATGTAAAGACCCTATTTTGTTTAGCCTTTCTGAGAGTGCGACTTTAGTATCCCATCCGTGCCCACCGGCGAGACGGGTGGCGCTGAGGTTGCATGTGTCGTGGTATATGTTAAGAAAGACAAAGCACTCTTGTGGGAAAAGTATGAAGGTATGGTAAAATAAAGTGAAAGCTATTTGGATGACTTCTGCTACTAAAAATCGCACCGCCTATTTCTATTCAACAGTCGCGCTGACACTTTGATGAGGAAATATGAGAGTTATGCCGCTATTGACACGCATCAACGGGTGAAGTAATTGCATATGTGTCAGCGCAATTCAGACAATAGCCTTAGGAAACACACAGAACACAGACTAGCGCTGACTTAAAGCTTAGTTTATTTGCACTTAAACAAGCATTTTTATGCGCCGAAATCTTTCTGTATTACCTATAGACAGAAGAGCAAGGTAAAAGACGGTATAGGTGGAATTCAGGATCTATAAGCAAAAAGACAAAAAAGTACGAATGGTTACAGCGGGCCCAAGTATAAAATAATGCGCATCTATATCCCCCAAGGCAACCTGAACTTTGAAAACAAGACGGCACATGATTTATACTCTAAAAGAGGCACCTTCAAAATGAAAGCTGACCAAGAGCAGGGCGTCAAGTGTTTAACTTTTCCTGGTGATAAATAATGTGAGTGTCCAAAGAACAAGCGATAAAAAACCGAAAAGCACGTGGGGATGAAACAACCATACATAACAACCTAGACAACAGATATCTGCATCACTTACTAAAATAATACTTTCTTGCGCTCCCGAGGGACTCGTGCTATACTTAACTAAACGCGTGCAGAATCAATAAAAAGAAGCCCAGGAATGGACTGAGGTAAATGAAAGGGACCCGTCTCCGGGGTGTCAAACCACGCTCTGTGAATACGAACTAGTTTGTGTCAAGTAAAACAAGCGTTAGGGAGAACAAAATATCAGAATACGGAAACATTGAGAGAGCGAACCGACACGTCAAATAAAACCATCTAAAAAAGTGAGCCTCAGCGCCTGTTAGAGTGACAGAAGGCATGCTTACAACTTGATCCCCAGCTTTAATAATGAAAACCGCTGCAACAATTTCGCGCGCAGTCCTATCTTTGGCTTTTTTCTAAAAATTTGGCGCCGTTGAACTTTGGTGTGCAGCCACAACGCTTACACTGCTCGGCTAGATGGCTACCAGCTTTATTGCGTGAATTCAAGCTGTGCTCTTTTGTGCGTTCATTAAAACATCTCTTGTCTTTTATCATATCGTCTTTTATCTCGCTGTTCTGTGTATAGGTAAGGCAGGCAGGTTTAGGCGCACAGAAAGGCTTGTTCAAGTGCAGATAAACTCAGTTGTAAGTCAGCGTTCGTCTTTGTCCTGCATCTCCTGTGGTACTTGTCTAAATCACGCTGAAGCATATCCAAATATGTACGAACTCAACCAACTCAACTTTCTTTTGTAAGAGTTAATCTTCCCCGGTTGATCGTTTAGCCGTTCGCACATGGAAGCCATAAAAATCGTTTCAATGTTTTTCGTACACATATAAAAAAACGGTATCACAAAATGCGTATCTTTATAGCTGATATTTCTACCGTAGTATTATCCTCTGGTGTATTCGCGAAGAGTAAATAATCATAGCTAAGCCATTCATAAAATGTAATGATATTGCTTGTATCCTGACATAAGATGCCCTACGCCATTATTTAACTAAATATCAAAAGTGGTGACGAAGCGGCCGAACCGCAATAATACGTTTTGGTATAAAAATAAAAATACTATGACCATACTTTCCCATTTCTCTTAACATTATGAGATCAGTACTATTTCAGCACCAGTATGAAGCCTTTAAGAAGAATATATGAATAGAAAATTTAACGTAAAGTGGGTCCAATTGAGTGCGCCCTCCGCATAAGCGAAGATGGAGCTCTAGAAAGTATTCTGTTTGCTAGTGCTCGCCAACTGAAAACGACTGCAGTACCAACAAACGCAGAGATTGAATTAGCACGAACGTTTCATGCGCCCTCTATTTTTCCTCAACAGATTGAGTTTCGTATGTTAGAGGAAGAAATTGAGAAAACCGAAGGGAAGCCAGTATACCTTGGATTACAGTTCATGGAGTGCGCTGCAAACCAGCTCGCATCCTTCTTCATGCCAAGAATACAAAGTGACAAGCGTGCGCGCGATGAACTGAACGCTACATTGGCACGGGTGTTCGTGCTTTTGCAAACAATGCACCACTACCACTTCTGGCCTCGCGTCTGCCAAGCCATCGCATCGTTCTTACCTTTTACAAAGATCTTCAAGATGAAGGACGCAATCAAGAACTTCGACAATTTTATCATGTGAGTTACCATGATGCGATTCTATACTACCTTACACAAAAAATTGTCAATGCGTGACTGAAGCTTTCATATCAGAATAGGAAGCATGTAACCATCAGTTGTACAAAAAGTTTCCTTCATCGTTAACCAAAAAATCAGTGCCGGAGAACAGTAATTCTGACTTCTGCAAGTGTACCGCTATCTACCATCGATACATAGTGCCATGTGACTTGAAAATGCAGGTTAATAAACAGAATTAATAATTTCTGAATAGTGAAAGAATGGGAAAGTTGATGCTTTTATAAAAGATTTTGTCCTTATCCACAAGCTTAATTTCCATCGTATATATATATATATATATATATATATATATATATATATATATATATATATATATATATATATATATATATATATATATATATATTGTGGGCATTTGTAACTTACATCATCCTCGTCCCTGCATAATCACAATCACCATCATCCGCTTGTCCCTTTGCCCTCATTGCCACTCTGGGTCATCATCATCGTCATCGTCTGTGTGCTGGCTCTGCCCGTTCGTTTTGCGAGGTCTTTCCTCAATTAAACGCTGTCGCAGCCAAGACTACCAAGACTTCATACGTGGTGGAGGTGGATTTTCGGTCCTCTGACCTCCCGCAGCCCGCTATACCCCCTGGAGCTTCGTTCCGGCCGTCACTTGCGCCCACAATCAGGCACCATGTCCCAGACCGAGCCTGCCGGCACTGATGTCATCAACCCCGCACCGCCGCAAGCTGCCCCTCCTACTTACATACACGGACATCAGCGGGAACCCCCGCTCTTCGCTGGTCTTCGGGGAGAAGACGTAGAAGACTGGCTTGATGACTACGACCGCGTAAGTGCCGCTAATAGGTGGGACGAGGCCGCCAAACTGCGTTACGTGCCTTTTTATCTGGTCGGAGTCGCGAAGACATGGTATTTTAACCGCGTCGTTGACTTTCCCGACTGGGCTACCTTCCAGCAGCAGCAGCGGCACGTCTTTGGGACACCAGACATTCGATCCGCCGTCGCGAAGAGGACACTCGATACTCGCCGACAACATCCCGGTGAATCGTATACTTCATACATCGAGGATGTCCTCGCACTCTGCCGGCGTGTCAATAAATCCATGCCGTAATCGGACAAAGTGCGCCATATATTGAAAGGCATTGGGCCTGTTGCCTTTAATGCCCTCGCTGTGCAAAACCCAGCTACCATCGCTGATGTCGTGCCGACATGCCAGCGCCTTGATGCGCTGGACTCCGTCCGCCTTCAACCAGACATCGGCGACCAACACTCCACATCAGATGGCCATCTGCGTGACCTCATCCGGGACATTATACGCGAAGAATTGCGGTCAATGGGCTTCACATCTCCTACACCACGACCTACACAGCCTTCGGGAATGCCCTTACGTGACATCATCAGGGAGGAACTTACATTCCTGACTGGCTCTGCGCCCGTACAGCCACCTGCTTCTCAACCTGCATCCACGTAACCTCAAGTTGCTGCCGTGCCTCCCAGCGACGCCCACGCGACATTGCTGCGTCCATCCTACGCGTCAGTTGCTGCCGCTCCCCCGGTGAACTACTATTCCGTACCCCCTGACCCTCCGGCCCACCTGACCGCGCTATCATCTACAGGTGCCCCGAATGCCTTCTATTCCCCACCGTCGCGCTCGTCTCGCCCTGTCTGCTACTACTGTGGCTATCGCGGCCACATATCTCGTTTCTGCCGAAAGCGCCAGTAAGATGAGCGTCGGAACGACGTGCGTGAACGGGATTTGTACGCCAGGGCGTCTTACCAAGGTCGGCGTTATTCGTCTCCCCCGCACCGTTCTCCATCTCCTCCTGCATCGACTGCACCACGAAACAGCCGAAACACGAGACGCCGCTCGCCTTCGCCCTTCCGCTGTTCCACTTCTCCACTTCGGCCCGCCTCATTCACCTCTGAAATTCATTCGGAAAACTAAGTGATGCAGTTTGTGGAGGAAAAACTGCATTCGGAGTTACAACTGAAATTCCTCCATCGGGCCCGTGTAACATGGTTTCTGTGGAAGTGGAAGGAGTGCGAGTCGATGCTTTGGTGGACACAGGTGCGACATTGTCTGTCATACGTGCTGATATGTGTGAACATTTAAGGAAAGTAATAACGCCTTACGATGGCCCCACATTAGTTGCTGCCCAGGGGAACGTCATTCGCCCTTCCGCGTTTTGTACTGTGCGTGTTTTCATCGACGGCATCCGCCATCATGTCCAGTTTGCTGTCCTGTCCCGCTGCTCTCACCAACTAATTTTAGGGTGGGATTTTCTATCATCTGCTTCCGCGGCGATTTGTTGTGGACAACGCGTCGTTCACCTCACTGACACCGACTACATGCTTGACGAGGATAATCAGAAGCCACTTCGTCTGGTCGCTGCGAAAGACATCGAACTCCCGCCACTACAAGAGCAAATTGTCAGCATTACGTCCAACGACATCTATCACGGGGACGCCCTTGATTTCCTACAAGGCGCGGAATTCTTTTCAAGCATCGACTTGCGTTCTGGGTACTGGCAGATCCCCATGCATGAAGACGATAAGGAGAAAACGGCATTCGCAACCCCCGACGGGCTATATGAATTCAACGTGATGCCTTTCGGGCTCTGCAACGCACCCGCGACTTTTGAGTGCATGATAGATACCGTGCTGTGCGGCCTGAAATGGAAAAGTTGCCTTTGCTACCTGGACGACATTATTATCTTTTCGTCTACGTTTTCTGAGCACCTAGAACGATTGGATCAAGTTTTGACGTGCCTTGCCGGTGCCGGGCTTCAAATAAACACGAAGAAATGCTCTTTCGCTAGCAAATCTATCAAGGTCTTAGTACACGTCGTTAGCAAAGATGGCATCCGGCCCGGCCCTGACAAGATTTCTGTAGTCCTTCACTTTCCGCGCCCCGAAAAACCAAAGGAGCTTCGCAGTTTTCTTGGCCTCGCCTCCTATTTTCGCCGGTTTATCCAGAACTTCACTTCTATTGCTGCTCCATTACACCAACTACTTGCTTCCAACGTCCCCTTTCTGTGGTCTCAAGAATGTCAAGCAGCATTCGACCTGTTGAAGCGGGCACTCACGTCTGAACCTCTGCTCTGCCACTTTGACGAAGCCGCACCAACTATCCTCCATACCGACGCTAGCGGCCTTGGTATAGGAGCCGTTCTTCTACAACGCGACAAGTCTTCCTTAGAGAAAGTTGTTGCATATGCCAGTCGCGTACTCACCGCTGCTGAAAAGAACCACACTATAACTGAGCAAGAGTGTTTGGCTGTGGTTTGGTCGGTCCAGAAGTTCCGTCCCTATCTCCACGGCCGTCACTTCACAATTGTTACGGACCACTATGCCTTATGCTGGCTTTCTACACTGAAGAACTTGTCCGGACGCTTGGGTCGGTGGATGCTACGCTTGCAGGAGTACGACTTTGACATAACTTACAAGTCAGGCAGAAAACATCAAGACGCCGATGCTTTATCTCGTTGCCCGCTTCCAACTACCCATATGAGCGTTGGTGAGAACTCAACCGCCACATCTACCAAAGTTCATACGCTAGCATCAATAACGCAACCCTTTTCGGACGACGAGCCAACATTTATCTCCCGCCAGCAGTCCGATTCATACTGCAGACTCATCATGGACCACCTTTCGGGAGTTTCTCATCCACCAAACGCGCGACTCCGTCGTCAACTCCTGCACTTTAAGCTGGACAATGGGGTTCTCTACCGCCACGTCTACCACCCTGACGGTCAGCGCTGGGTTCCTGTACTGCCATGCTCTCTTCGACTTCAGGTGCTCGAAGCCTTCCACGACGACTTGACTGCTGGACATTTTGGTTTTAAAAAAACTCTTGACCGCATTCGATGTCGTTATTACTGGCCTGGCCTTTCTTCTAGTCTAGCTCGGTAGGTCGGTTCCTGCTACCCATGCCAGCGTCGTAAACTCCCCACGTCGGCACCTGCTGGACCTCTACAGCCACTTCCGTGCCCTTCAATGCCGTTCGAGGTTGTAGGTGTTGACCTTTACGGGCCTCTCCCCGTGACATCTGCTGGCAAACGATGGATAGTGACTGCCGTGGACCACCTGACACGCTACGCTGAGACTTCCTCTGTTATTACAGGCTCAGCTGTGGAAGTTGCAGACTTTATTCTTCACGCAATAATACTGCGTCATGGGGCTCCTCGTGTACTGGTTAGTGACCGCGGCAAAGTGTTTCTGTCACAAGTTGTAAATGAAGTACTGCGCGCTTCTGGAACTGCTCACAAGACAGCTTCAAGCTACCACCCTCAGACAAATGGTCTCACAGAAAGATTTTACCGAACCCTTGCAGACATGATAGCCGTTTACGTCCAACCCGACCACAAAAACTGGGATACTCTTTTACCATTCCTGACATTCGCTTACAACACTGCCGTTCAGCGAACAACTTGCTACTCACCGTTTTACCTCGTGTACGGACGCACCCCGACTACCTTTCTCGACGTCTCCTTCTTTAGCAGCCATGGAAATTCATGTCAGTCTTTTAGCGAAGAATACATTTCCCGCCTGGCCCAGTCTCGTCATCAGGCTCGCATCAATACTGAAGCGAGACAGCACGAGCGGAAGATCATCTATGACGAATCCCACCGCGTTGTGTCTTTCCAACCTGGTGACGAGGTGCTGCTTTTGACACCTATTCACACTCCTGGTCTCTGTGACAAATTCCAACCACGCTTCATCGGGCGATACATTGTTTTAGAACAGACTTCGCCGGTTAATTATCGTGTGACACCACTCGTCGCCCCAACAGACCGCCGCTACCGCAGCACAGAGATTGTCCACGTTTGTCGCATGAAACCTTTCACGCGACGTTCCCCGTCACTTTGACTTACGGCGGCCAGGATGTCCACTTCCAAGTGGGGGGAATTAGTGTGGGCATTTGTAACTTACATTGTCCTCATCCCTGCATAATCACAATCACCATCATCCGCTTGTCCCTTTCCCCTCATCGCCACTCTGGGTCATCATCATCGTCATCGTCTGTGTGCTGGCTCTGCCCGTTCGTTTTGCGAGGTCTTTCCTCAAAAAAACGCTGTCGCAGCCAAGACTACCAAGACTTCATAATATATATATATATATATATATATATATATATATATATATATATATATATATATATATATATATTACTACTTATATAATCTCGGTAAAAGGAGAAAAAAAACGCTCACTTCAGGTAACAGAAGGTAATTAAATTATGTTGCTTTGAATTTCCTGTTACCTCGAAAAAGAATACAAAAAATATTCTATCACACATGAAATGATAATCGAAATGCAAAGTCATACAGAAAAGTTTCAGCCAACCTCTGAGGCTGGTTGACATTTTCCAACACGTTCTTTATTGATTAAGGTAGTAATTGAATTCCTGAGAAATACCTATAGTGCGTGCTCAACTTTGTACCTAAGAGCACTTGTGGCACAGCACAAAGACAAGCCTTAGATGATCTCAGGACAATATCAGTGCACGTTATCTCTATTGAAATCAGATAACGACAGTCTCATCACTAGTGCATGGACATAACGTATACGAATCTACAATCAAACGCCAAAATATGATTCAGTCCATTCGAGTGAGGCACATAAAACAGCTACGCGAAAATGAAAATTTTAAATAAAACGGTTTAAATTGAGACATCTTCTATACGACGGGAAGTTCTTTATTATATCTAATTCAATGCCACTAAACAGAAATAAGCAATCAAGGGAAAAGAAAGGCCACGCTCACATGCAATGGGCAGCAAAGTAAAAGACAAAGCTGGCAAGAGCAGTCTCCTTAAAGCATTCCTTTAAACACTCTTGGGGCGACTACTTCTATCACACTTCCACACAGTCAACCAATTTACACCTTAAAAGAGTTTTGCCGTGTCTATAACACGCGTACATAGATTGGAGCATTCAACGACTCACCTAGTTACGCTATTTGCATTGTGAGACGCCTGGTTTATCGCTCCAAAAGGCTTGAAATAATAAGTGAACGCGATCCTTATCTGACATCAAGCCTGTACAGAGTTGGGTTGCAACAAAGTTTCAAGCACTGGCATAGCTTAGTGGTGGAGTACTGGGCTACCACACAGAGATCCCGATTATAATCCCATTCTACCCGGTGTATTTAATTTTTTATGTTTTCTTGTTTTGTGCGACAGTGAATGTGGACACCAGAAGCAGCGACGACGGACAAGTACAGCGCTAAAACTGGCCCTCATTATTTGATAAAAGATTGGAGCATGAAAGCATTTTGCTCTAAAACGAGATGTATTTTCGCAGCATTTTTATATGTAACAGCTGTTTTATAGCTTTCACTATAAAATAATAGATAAAACAATCTATATAACTACTTTGTCTATGATATTTAACAGTAAAATTGTGAAGCAGCCCTGAGTATTGAGACCCACGTCAGTCTATTCTTGAGCAGATGACTACTATCCAATTGGCTACGAAGTAAGCCGCTTTTCTTAGCCACTGTCTCCTCTTTCCTGTCGGTCTCACGACTCTCATGTTGCTGCGTTTTTTTTTCTTTAGTAGTTAAGAAAACCGAGTTCGCCCTAACATACACTAACATACACACTAAGCAGGGTTACAGTTCGGTAGTTAGTACTTCCATTCGTTGTTTGGATATTTTAAGAAGCGCCATTGGATGCCGCTATGTTTCGTTTTGATGACGTGGGCAGTCTCGAAGTTGATGCGAAGATGCATCTTTTCACTTTGTTAGCCAAGAGCGGCTCGTGCAGAGTTGAAGCTGCACATTACGGTGTTGCCGCATGCTTTCCCGTTTCCATTTACAGGCTGAAAATAACGTATATAACACACAAAAAATCCAGAAAGAAAAGCTACAGTAGTAGAGTTGATCGAAAATTAGACAACAATAACTGCCATGCTGTTGTTAATATTGAGGTTAGTGAGTGAGTGAAAAAACTTTATTGACGATCCGGCATAAAGAGGGAAGGGGTAGGGAGATTAAAGCGAGACACTAGCGTGCTCGGACGTCTCGGAGCAGCAACCTGCTCGCGTCAAACCACCGCCGGGTAACCAAGAAGTAATGCCAACTGCCATAAGCAGCAAAATTATCAGCCGAGAGCCAGGCAATAAAAGAGACGTGGTCCAGCACGTGCTTAGCATCCTGGAACGCCAGCGGCCGAAAGCGGTGCCCCCACGGGTTTGATTATTGAGGTTATAAATTTTTCGAAGTGTTCACAGCGCCAACTAATTGGCACCCCACTGCTACAAAATGAAAAGTAGTATGGAGAGAAATTTCTAGTAAATAAACATTGAAGACATCGTTTGTATGTTCCGAGGCATAGTAAGCATTTTAATGAATCTCCACATTAACCCAAACTGTTACTTGATGCGTTGTAGGAATGAGCAATGTCCATGCATGTAAGAAAGAATTACTCTTAGTTGCATAATATTTTGTTATTGCAGCGGAGTTGACTATTAGAATCTGTCAAAGGTACGGAATGATCACTATAGGAAAGCGCTGGCTGGAGATTGCGAGAATGTTGAATACACAGTGATTGCGGTTGTAATTAAAGCCATTTCACACATCCAGTTTAATCTAGAAGAACAAAAAGTGAGACAAGCAATAATTTTAACGTCCTGAAGTCAGAAGCTCTTTTTAATAGAATGTGTGGGGCTTGTGATTGAGTGCAGAATTGTCTGAATAATTAGGAAGATATAAAAACTGGGAGTTGGCCACACTTTTCTATAGCCTCTTTATTTCCAACGTGCGATAGACTACCCTCCTAGTATAATAGATGACTCACAACAAAAGAATTGACGTTTCGGCAAGTTGAAATTGGTTGTACATCGCTGAAATCAGGTGCGCAAAAATAAAAGAACAAGAGAGCACAAGAAGTACTCTACACAACGAAGTGCCCTCTCACAAATATGACCTCTGTGATGTGTTGTAATTCTTGTGTACTCGGGTTTTGCGCTGCATATTACAAAGAACCATTACCGACAACCACCATCTGTTCTACTATATTACTTTTTTTGGGCAACACGTTTGTAACGAATATTCGTTTAAGTTTGTTCTCAGACTTCAATATTATTGTTAGTGTCTTGATCTGTGAAATTCCGACATGTGCTGATGTTGCGCGAGCAAAGAGCGATATTCATAGATGTAATATTTTGTGAGACAGTCTTCAAGGCCTCGGTTAGATTGCTTAGAAAGAAGCCAGGTAGGAGTTACGCTGAATTTATGCACCGGAAGACAGATTTTATTACTTCGCATGGGAAAGGGAACGCATGGTTGATGAGATTGAAAAGCGAAAGCCGATGTAAGCACAACCACCGTTACATAGTGATTGGTATAAGACCGGGCAGGTGATCTAAAGGCTCTGGTCCTATTTCGGTCTGATTTTTTATACACAACTATTTCTTTAGAATTGACGTTATAATTATTACACTTCTGTTATAGGTAAAGTCACAGCTTTGCCGCGATAATAGGTACAAAAAGTCAAGCAATGTATGCGATAGAAACAAATTGGAAGGTCACGCGCAGTATGGAGAGCAGGTCGAAACATTCTCCGCCTTCTTCACGCACGAATGACGCAAGAAACGTACTCACAGGTACAGATTCACGCGTCTAAGCGTCTTATTTGTTGCTCTACTGTGTCTAAAGAGCACTGCGCTTTTCGCAAACGGAGACTGCAATGATTGCAGTGACCTTTGTGCACCCGTTAACTGCAGCAGAATCGTTCCAAGTAAAGCCCAAGGCCAGCCAAGGCGTACGACCTTTCCCTCCTTGCCGCCGCGAGATAATGGCCCGTGAAGGAGCATCGCTCCCCTTCTTCAAGCCGGGCAAAGTACGCGTAGGAGATAAGAGCGGACACCGCCACACGATGTGTCGACGCGCGCTCATTGCGCCATCTTGCTGGTAATGCTAAGAATACAATTCCCCCCCCCCCCCCCCCCCGAGATGCTCTGGAGCAGCGGTAAGCGGTAAATATGAATAGTTCACCGTTTGAACGGTGAAGGATACGCTCCGGGGTGGCTCAGTGGTTAATGCCTCGCTTTCAGACGCAGAGGTCTCACCTTCGATTCCACGCACCAGAGTGTTTTTCTACATTGTTTTTTCTTTCTTGCTTTTTCATATATATATATAGACCAGTATACATTTACTGTGCATGTCATTGACACCGGCGGCATAATCCAGCCGGAAGTGTCCAAATAACTATTACTTCAGTAGTAATGTTCATACACCATTCTTCACTTAATTGCCGGTTGTTTTCAGTAAATCGCAGATTGTATCTTGTAGATATTTATGCTCGATATATAACCTACAAAAGTTTTAGTATCATGCACTACTCGGTTCTTCTCAGCAAACACGGTGAAGATAACCTTTTTCTATCAAACTTCAAGTTTGAATGACAAAGAACAGAATTTGTCTGACAGTGATTGGCAAAAACGTGGAGACAATGTTGTGATGTTGTATTCAACTAATGTACCTTAACCATGCATCACTGCAGAAATGAAATCAGCAACCACGTGCAAGGCAGCGGGCGAAAAAGTTTCATACAAACATACAAAGACAAGGTCAACGAATCTGCGGAAAACCAAGACTATACTTACAAGAGTGAGTTATATTCCCAGCTTCTCTATTAAGCGAACACACCAAACTACTAAGCACGCACGCCAGTCAATTCAATTTCTTGTTGACACTGCTTCAAATGGGCCAGTTTATTACATACTAGTAGCATCACTTCAGGTAGTACAACTGTCCAGTGCAACTAGATTACTTTAGTGACAGGTACCGAGAAAAATGTATAGCCACAATGTAATTTACAGCAGTCCAATACACTCACAGATCACGCATCACTGAAGCAAACGAAGAAAAAACACAAAATACACTTGGTTTACACAGAATTACGTAATTTTCGTGAAGATAAAAAACAGTGTTTCTCCTTTACAATATATTTGAAAACGAATTTAGAGAAAATTCAACACTTCCTATCCTAAAGCAGAAAAAGAATCACGCCATATCCACGAAGTGAATGATGATGAGTTTGGCGAGGCTTCGAAGGGTTTTATGAGCAAACCGTGAATCATACGCTGGCCGCGTCCATTTATCTGTCTGTCTGTCTGTCTGTCTGTCTATCTGTCTGTCTGTCCGTCCGTCCGTCTGTCTGTCCATCTGTCTGTCTGTCGGTCTGACTGTAGGTTCGTTAGTCCACTCATCAGTTCGTTCGCTCGTCTGTGTGTATGTATGTATGTATGTATGTGTACCGACATCTCGCATGTTTTCATCATATATTCATCTTAGACAAGCACCGCGATCCAGCGGACATTCCAAGGCCTACAAAAATGAGAGCTAGCACCTACATACAAGAGACGCGCGACCAACGCCTAGGAGGTGGCACACACGTTTTAAGGAGCTTCGCCCTTAAACCGTGTATGCCACCTTCGGATGACGGCAACTTTACCCCCCGTTTTTATCTGTTTAGTAAGGAACCGAATCATTATCATTTACATTTTCTGTAACGCTGCGAATAGAACTCATTGTGGTCATCGGCGTGCTTCGGGTAAACAGCGCCGATGCCACAAGATGATTATTGTGACATAAAGTACATGTGGAAAAGCCCATTTTGCACTATTCTGGCCACATGCCGCTGATGGCTATGCATTCAGACATCGTATGGTGGGTCGTTTCTCTTATGCCTTAGTTGGAGCAGCGAGCACGCAGAACTGTTGGTCTGTCTTTTTTTTAATGTGTGACGTACGATTCCACCACACGACAAAAACATAAGTACTTCTTCAATTCCCAATCATTTGATCTGCTTGCGGCATTCATATGTGTGAAGACTGCCAATAAAACAGCAAGTATTACGCATACATTAGGTAAAATTAGTATACGATTGTATGATAATGTGTTGCTTTATTTCCAAGATTATAGATACGTACTTTTAAAGGCTGCAGTGCTTATTACGCTGCACTGACAATGTGACGCTGTGCACAAAAAGGCGGCGTTTCTAATGCTTCACTAAAATGGCATGATTGTGCCACTTACCTGTGGCTCTGCATTTTAGAAACAAAACTTTGGTTTCTTGAAACCACGGCGAGATGACGTCCATACCTCACGTAGCGCACACTGACCTATCTGCTCCTGCAGATTGTCAAATAAACGTCCTCGCGCTCTCATTCCAGACAAAAGACTATCGTCGTTCAACGACCTTTGCAAGTGAAGTATGCAGATACGCGACCACTTTTTGTTTCAATTCATCAGTTAGCATACTTCTGAGATTTCGTCCCCGCGTTCGAGCAAATTACGGGAAACCTAACTTCCCTATTTTCAGAAATATGACTTTGTAACTCAATACCATGCGAAATTAAGCCAGCGTCAGCTGCACATATATTTCATAAGCTTCCTAAGAATGACTGTCTCGGCAAATTATGCTGAGGAAGCACACTAACTTAGGAATCTCCCATTTTTATTTCTCCTGTTACGTTTTCTTTTTTTATTTTTCACATTGCGAATGCTTGATTTGTTACCCATACCACTGAATATTTGACGTTTTTTTTCTCTCTTGAATGAATCTTGCTTGTATTATATAGTCGCAATTTTTACATTGTAAGGTATTCATTGTTGATATACTGCTGCCGTGTTAAATCTTATTGTGCTCACTTTATTTTAATCAATGCATGACGCCTGCATCATAAAGATTATAAAGGGAACATCGCGTTTTGTTTTTCAGCATGTACAAACTATTGTACAGTCATGACTTCATATAACATGTCAGTTTAGTTGTTCTTTGTTGCTTTGTTTTTTTTCCCTTCATTTCTTGCATTAATTTTTATGCGCTTTGCTCCTTGAGCTTTCCGTATACTTTTCACATGTATTTTTTTATCATTCTGCCCACGACATCTGCCTTAGTATCAGGGGGTTCCCCCGTCAGTTTTTGCAACTATGGGACATTCAAATTCAATACGTATCACTAACGATGTTAGATTGTATGCAAAGATATTGAATAAAAATGACTTGACTTACTTTCATATTCACTGAAACGAGATTATGTGGGCCTATCGCAAATATTTGGATTGTATAGAGGACTCAACACTTCATAGTAGCAAACAGTGACTGGCCGCTTTTTTCTTCAAATAATTTCCTCTTAAATGCTGCACCTTTCCTACATTACAGCGAGCGTGCTTTAAAGCCAAACATTTTTATTATGTCTTTTACGTTTGGGCTCCCCTGTGTTATGTCCTGATTCTGGTGAGTTATCTAATGAGGCTACACAGCTTAGCCGCAATATTTATTTTTGCGCCTTCCAAATAATGTCCTACGTGTTTACAGTGTCATAACTACGATACTGGCCTCATATTCACGATAAATATGATGCTCAAAATGTCTGAAACAATCGCTGCAAGCAAAACCCTCATTGGGCACTCTCAGAGTAAGACATCAGATACGATTTTTGTCATTAAATCAATGTGCTCAGCCTTACCGAGAAAAATTAGGGGGGGGGGGTCATGGGAAGGAATCATTCATGTTCATTACAGTTCACCTCAGCGTCTGAAAATGCCCAATAAGAGACGCATGTTGCGCTTAGCGGAACGCGAGTTTTCGATGTAATTTTCATTGTGTACATAATGCTGATGCTTACGTCAATCATGCCCATTTTTTATTCTCCCTGAGATAAGAAAACAGGTAAAAGAAGCGGTACCCAGTTGCAGGCAACGAATACCCACTGTAATAGTCTGAAAGAATTGCAGCATTTCACTTGAAAGCACGTAAATACCAGAGGGTTTAGCATTGTAGAATGAAGTCCCATGTGTTTCAATTAGGTGTTGCTCAATTGTCCTCGGAAGCCACACTTTTTAAATTGTGATACTGCAATTCGACCAGCATAATTAGGTAGGTCTGTGCTGAGTATACTTGAAAGTGTTTTTTTTCTCTACTATATTTGTCACATATGTTTTTTGTCACTTCCTCCCTATTCAGGTACGGCAAGAAGCTGTTACTGTCGCTGAGAGGTGGCGGCTTGTACAAGTGTCCCCAAACTCTGTATATGACCTAAGTTTGTAAATTACAACGTATGAAAAGCCGTGCTGAAAATAAACAAGTTTTAGTATATGTACTGCGGTTCTTTTTAATGTGGTAAATTTACTGAATCTTAGCACTGTGCTGGTAGCGTCCTCAATTTTTTTTTGTTCGGGCACTCCCATATGGGTTTCATGTAACCATACTCCCCCAGTCATATATTCGCCAACCCCTTTTTTACACATCTTGCGAATGAATACAACTGAAGAGTTCTTACTAACAGGAGTTCTCATGGCGTTGCATGAAAATTGTAAGTACTTACGAACATTACTTATACTCACCGACGCTGAATTTTTATGCCTTTCAGACCACTACTTGGTGGGCCACATAAAGATGTTTCTCATAGGAGGCATCGACGGCCCAAGCATATCGATGCAGATGCACATGGTGATGTTCGCTGCTCGCCCAAATGATCTCCAGCTGCGAGTGCAGCGGGAAATTGACACCGTTATAGGCCACCGAAGATTGCCTACTTGGGAAGACCGAAAACTCATGCCTTTTACAATGGCATGTGTCTGGGAGCTCGAAAGGTGGAAAAGAACGGAACCGTTTGGTCTACCTAGAGGGTGAGTAGATGCAAACGATCAGCAAGCAATGCGATCTACCTAGCTCTGGTTCAATCATTACTCCTTAATTTGCAAAAGTGGGGATGGGCATCAAATGAGAGGGCTTGTTCAATTTTTTCTCTAGATCTCCTTATCGTCAGTCATCATCATCATCATCACCAGCCTAAGAACGTGCACTGCAGGGACAAAGGCCTCACTCATGTTGGCCAGTCAACTCGGTCCCGTGCTTGCTGCTGCCAATTTATACTCGCAAACTTCTTAATCTTATCTGCCCAGCTAACGTAAGGTCTCCCCCTAGCCTGCTTGCCTTTTCCGGGAATCCAGTTATTTACACTTAATAACCAGCGTATATAATGTCTACGTGCTACATGCCCGACCTATGTCTATTTCCTATTCTTGATTTCAACTTTGATATCCTCAACCCCCGGTCTGTTGCCTAATTCACTCTGCTCTCCTCTTGTCTGTTAAGGTTACACTTACCATTTTTCTTTCCTTTGCCCACTGCATCATCCTCTATTTAAGCTGAACCCTCTTTGTAATTACAGTCTCCAGGTTTCTGCTCCGTAGTTAAGTACCGGCAAGATGCAGCTGTTATGCACCTTCCTCTTTAGGGATAGTGGTGATGATGATGATGATGATGATGATGATTCCAATGCCATGGCTCGTACCCACTCAGCGGAATCGGCCAAGAATCGATGACTAAATTCAAAAAGATTTTTTTATTCGAAACCGCCCACCAGAAAAAAGAAAGAAAAAAGAAAAGACACCCTAGGCAGAATGAAAGGAGTGCAATGTTGTTTGTCACTCGTTCAGATAAGACAATTATACATTATCTTGAATAAGAATCAGCATGATTAAACAATGCTCTTGTGTTCGTTGAATTTTTTTTGCACGAAAAATAATCACGCAAGTAAAAGCCTAATTCTTTTACTTTCATTAGGGTACTTGCAAACTGCATAGAAAATGTGGCATACTTTTCTTCTTCTTCTGGCATGACACACTTGGGACATAAGCTAGTACTGGGTAGTCTGCTGAGGAGAAAAAAGAAAGAGTTGGAAAAAAGGCGGAGATGGATTAATAAACCGCACCAATTCGACACCAATTATTCCTATTTTCCTCCATACAGTATACATTACGGTGGCGCGATTTCGCACACTTAAAATCAGGCAAAAATTATCTGACCCTGCACTGACGGCTTCTCCAGAGTACAAACACTTGTTATTTCCCTGGCGCAGTGAACTGACTAAATCAAGGATGATGGAAGTTGTCATCACGAAATTTTGTTGCCGCGTTACCTCCCTCAATTTTTACTTGCATAGATCAGGCATATTGAATTCCACTATGTACATTTACTGTAATCAAGAGGAAACGATCAGTCATTTTTTATTACATTGTCGCCGTTTCGATTTATTCAGACAAAGCATACTAGCACCACCTCTTCAAAGACTGGGCTTGCAACTATCACAGCCTGATCTTCTTTCATTTGGAGCCTCTACACTGGGTTTCAGCCACAGGGATGTTTTATTCGCCGTTCAAGAATACATCACTGCGACTAAACGATTTTCTTGCTAAATTGCTGTCTCAAAATTTTTCTTATTTTTTTTCTGCAAACTTGATATCGGTATTTCAAATCCAAATTAAGTTACAAAAAAATTGTAGGAATGACACAATGCTGAAAGTTTAGGGCAAATTCACCTTAAAATCGGCCAATCCCCTTCTTTGGGTACGAGCCATTTCTACAGGGAAACAACAACAACAACAACAACAATAAACCGCACTGGGTTTTCGGAACCGCGTTTCAGAGTGCTACATATAATGGTGACCCGGACTACGAACGCGACCTTCCATGGAGCAGCGTGAGCATCTCGACATCCTCAGCCCTGGCACCGCTGCTATCGCATCCGGCCATGTACCCTCTTCGGGTGTTGTTGGAGCTACTACTACCATAACACTACCACAGCTGTGGCTTGCCGATCTCCTCCTTATGGTTAATTCAAGTCGAGAACAAGTTCCGCATTCATCGCATCACGTCAGAAGTTCGCAAGCATGAACTCCTCGTTGAAGCGTTGCCGCGAAAGGCAATGACCGAAATACGCGACATTCTCATGGGCCCGCCTGGTGACACTCCATATACGACAGTCGAAACAGGCTCTTCTTCACCGACTCGTTCCGCATAAGCATCGGCGCATTCAGCAACTTCTGTGCAACGAAGAGCTCGGGGACTGCCGTCCCACAGAGTTTCTACGTCACGTTCAGTACCTGCTTGGAGACCAGCCGGACGGCTCGCAAACATCCATACTACGTGAGCTGTTTCTACAGCGTCTACCACCTACCATGCAAATGGCTCTTGTCCCAGCTCAGGTTAAGCCGCTGTCGGAGCTGGCAGAAATGGCCGACGACATGATGGACGTTGCTTCGGCAGTCATAAACGCTGCCCACAGCTCTCCGATTTCCGAAGCAGATTCCCTTCGAGAAACGGTAAATGATCTCGCAGGTGAAGTCGCCAACTTGCGTCTGCAATCGCTGGGCATTCGCAACCTAAACGACCAGCCTCATCCACATCGACCATCTCTCACATCGGCCGCTCCGCAACGGCCCCTCCACCAGCCCGAGCGCTGCTTTTCACCACAGAACACATGCTATTATCACCGGCGTTTTCGTGCCGCGGCTCGCAGATGTGTGCCACCTTGCTCATGGCACATGGGAAACGCTCCGGCCGATCGTCAATAACAGCGGCGGGCGATCAAGGCCAAGCATCAAGCCACCTCTTCCACATCACCGACAGAACCACAGGTCTGCGCTTGCTGGTGGACACTGGGGCAGAAGTCAGCTTAAATCCAGCGTCCAAAACTGACCGGCGTCTTCGCGAGAAGTCAACTCCTTTACAAGCGATCAATTCTTCGGTCATTGCAACTTACGGACAGAAGTCTCTGACCCTTAATCTCGGTCTTAAGAGGAAACTGCAGTAGTTATTTTGGATAGCAGACGTGCGCTACGCAATCTAAGGCGCCGATTTCTTGACGCATTTTCATCTGCTCGTGAATATGAACCGCTGCCGCCTGGTGGATAGCTATACCGGCTTATCGGTCAATGGTTTTCTGTCCCGCGCTACGGCCCTAATTCTCACTTTCGTGAAACCACCCACGTCACCATATACAGCTCTGCTCAACGAGTTTCCGGAGATTACAACGCAGTCTCCCATGGTTAAGACCCCTTATCACACTGTGACCCACTGCATTGTTACCACAGGCCCACTGGTTCACTGCCGCCCTCGCCAAATTGGCCCTGACAAACTTCGAATTGCTCGTAAAGAGTGTGAGCACATGCTACAGTTGCAAATGATTCGTCCTGTCATCAAGCTCGTGGTCGTCGGCGCTATACATGGTTCCCAAGAAGAAAAATGACTGGCGGCCCTGTGGTGATTATCGGGCTCTCAATGCAGTCACCGTTCCAGATCGATACCCGTTACCCAATATTCAGGACTGTACTGCCTTTTTAACCGGAACAACTGTATACTCGAAAATTGATCTTGTGAAAGCTTATCACCAGATCCCCATTGAGCCTTCTGACATTTCCAAAACTGCAATAAATACCCCATTTGGGCTCTATGAGTATTTACAAATGCCTTTCGGATTGAGAAATGCAGCTCAGACATTTCAGCGTTTTATAGACGAAGTCACAAGAGGTTGCCGTTTTGTTTCGCCTATATCGACGATCTTCTCGTTGCCAGCAAGGACGCTGAAATGCACATGGCACATCTACGTCACCTTTTCACTCGACTGCATGATTACGACCTTGTCATCATTGTAGAAAAGTGTCAGTTTGGAGTCTCGGAGATAGCATTCCTCAGACATCAGTTCACTAAAGATGGCATCACTCCTCTACCTGACAAGGTTCAAGCTATCCTTGAGTCCCGCCTCCCACGTCCATACGCAGCCTACGACGTTTTCTCGAACTCGTCAATTTTTATCGCCGCTTCATTCCTACATGCTCTACACTGCTGCAGCCTCTGGAAGCACTACTCTCGACTTCGCAAGCCGAGTCAGCCGCACTTCCCAGGGACACGGTCGCGGATCAAGCTTTTGCCGCCGTTAAGACCAAGCTCGCCCACGCCACTCTGCTGCACCACCCTTCACCAACTACTCCATCTAGCCTCATGGTGGACGCTTCTTCAGCAGCAGTTAGGGCTGTTCTTCATCAATAGATCAATTGTGCATGGGCTCCAATTTTCTTCATTTCCCCCAAGTTACGCGACACTGAGCGCCGATATAGTACTTTCGGACGGGAGCTTCTCGCGGCTTACCATGCGGTGAAGCAATTCAGGTACTTCCTTGAAGGGCGACAATTTTCCATTCTTACCGACCACAAGCCCACTTTTTTCGGCTTTACGTTCCTTCAGTGCCACGCACACTCCTAGAGAACTTCGACACCTTGCTTTCATTGCCGAATTCACCACAGGCATACGTTATGTAAAAGGCAGCTTTAACAGCGCAGCGGACGCTCTCAGTCGTGTTACCATCAATGCCACCACAGGCGCCACCGACCTTTCATTGTCCTCGCTCGAGGAGGCACAGGTATTAGACGATGAGCTTCCACAACTCCGATCCTATACTTTCTTCCGACTAGAACAAGGAAACTTTCTCGACGACGACTGTTGCGCTCTGGTGCGATGTTTCACACAACTGCACTCGTATCTATGTTCCTTCACAACTTCGTAGGTGCTTTTTTGACACCCTCCACTCTATCTGCCATCCAGGCGTATGAGCTACGCAACATCTGGTCACTGAACGCTATGTCTGGCCGCGCATACGCGATAACATTCGTGACTGGGTTCGCACTTGCAGAGCACGTCAGCGTATCAAGGTGCGACGGCACACGAAGCCTCCATGGGGAAAATTTCCTCTCCTTGATGAACGTTTCGACACCATTCATTTGGACATTGGCGGGCCATTAGCTCCATGTCGGGGAAATACGTAATTGCTTACGTGTATTGACAGGTA